TGCTATACGAAATGTTCGAATTTGCATTGGATTGAAAATGATTGTTGAATTTTGCTTTGCCAAAACCGATCTTCGATTTTCGATGCCCGGGTGTTGTTCATCAGTTAACCAATGGAGTCTTTCCATCTTCGATAATTCTAGATTTCCATCCAATGTTAATTCGACAAATCGATTAATTATTCCAATAGATTGAAACAATGATTGCAAATCAAATAAAGTTGGATTGGAATAGATTTGATCTTCATTCAATTCAAAATAATGCTCAAGACGAACCAAAAATTCTTTCTCTTTCAATTGATCAAATGTCAACAAATGAATATTCAATGGTAAACTTTCCTTCAACATTGACCATGTTTGTCGATAACCATTCGAATAATTCGTATAAGATGAGTTAAACAATCGAAATGTAGTTAACGGCGATAGAAACAATTGTTGAGAACGAACACGATGATAAAACGAACTTGATTGTGGTGAATCGAGATACAGAAAATGTTTTCCTCGACTGACAAGTCCGCGATCAAACGCAGTTTCATTCAACGCTTCACCAACGCCTAGATGATCATCATAGAGCAATCGTCGATGTATCATTATCTCAATTGAACCATCCAATAGACTCGCACCACCTTGTGAACGATCCGTCAGAATTGTAAACTGTCGATTGGTTTCGTTGATCCAAATTCTTGAATTAACTGGATAATAGTTTCCACTGACAGGTTCGGTGATTGTGTAATTATATGTCGGTCGATAGTTTCTTATTCTTTGAAGAACTTCTCGTCCATTGGAATCGGTGTAGTACTTTGATTGACTTGCAAGATTTGTGTCGTAACGAAGAATGATTTCTTTGCCGAGATTGTCTTCAATTGGAATTGGACCGACGGTCCATTCGATCTCCAAATCTTCCTTTTCGTCGTATAAACGAATTTCTTCACTAATCCACTCGTTAAATGTGATCAGCGCAATTTGGACGAGAGAAGTTTTGAAACATTTTCTAGAGAAAGGGAATAAAGAAAGTATGACACGATACACTTCAGCTTACAATGCTCGTTTTGTTGAAACAGGAGTAGGGTTTTGTGTTACTGGTCGAAAAATATAAGCACCAGAGGCTTGAAAATCAAATTGCGAATTGTTTCCTGGATAACCTTTTGTCCATTGAATAGAAAATTTCACTCTTCTTTCAGAGAAAATCGCCTTACCTTCATACCAATAGAAACCGTGATTGGCAAAGGTGAGATTAATATTCTTTTGAAGATTTATCATTTGTTGTAGATTTCCTTGTTCATCAATTTCCACGCGGAGATACTAAAAGCGTATGATATTCGAAAATTGTATCCAAAAAATTCGTCTACTTGATTTTGCAAAATACACATTTCCTTCTTCGTTATTTTCAAATCTTTGACTTCCTCCTCGTTCCCTAAAATCAAAGAAGTGGAGATTTCAAAGTGAATGTACATGCAATGATTCTACTTTCAAAGAAATATGAACTAAATCCAAGTGTTGGAAGATTATACCGAAGAATTAATTCCATTGTTGCATTACTCATTCGACCCGGAATATCCTTCGTTATGTTTGATATCGGAATTAGATCAACATTGATAACCGTTCCATTCGGATCACGAACTTTATATGAGTTTGTCACGGGTACACGTAAATAATCCATAACTGGATGAATTCTTGGATTCCAAAGCGTTACGACAAACTAAAAAGTAACCCTAAAACTGATTCTACTCAAAGCTTCGTTTTGAATTTACTCGTTCGACATTTTCGATTGGTAAACACTCGCTAATATTTGTCAATGGACAAAGAAATTGTTGAACATTCACTCTTGAATGATCCCCTTTGCTTAATAATTTCGAATACGCTTGATTAATCACGTTCTAAAAACAAAAATTCCATAGAGAATTCATTTTGACTTTTCTCTGAGTGACGAACAAGTGCTGCGTCAATGCCAATGGACAATCGTAGGACATAATCATCTGCTACGTGCTGTCTTTCGGTTCCACTAACCGCATCATGGTGTTGAGCAACGGCCATGGCTTCACTTAAGTTAAAGATTTGATTTCGAAGTTGAGAATTGGAAAAGGCGTTTAATTGTCGTGTGACTTGTAAAATATTATTTGAATAGCGTTCGAAACGTTTCAAAGCTGGTCGAGATGCGTAAAATCCCGTCCAAAATCCATGTGGATGATGAGCGTGAGGAAAGAAATCATCGGTTTTACTTATCCAACTACGGTTGACTTTGTTCAACGCGTATAAATAACANCACAGCGTATTCAACGGTACTTTCATAACTATCACACCAATGCAAATTCGTACCTTTATAATTGTTTTACAATAAAATAACATTTTCATTCATCGAATGCATATACACATGTGGATGTAAATGAGAGATAAAAGAAGCATTCTCGGATCTAAATTTTTATAAAAGCGAAAGATTTTGGTAGTTTTTGGAAATGAGCGATAAGGACTGTCATGTTTTATATTCTTCCAAAAATTTAACATACAATTTGGAAAATCTTGAAAAAGAAACGTCGTAAACTAGGAACTAAAATATATAAACTAAGAAAAAACCAACCTGCTGGTTATCAATCATTCTCTATACCGATGAAGAATATAAACCATAAAAATAGGAAAGAGAAATGAAAGACTATGGCAATACAGAAGAAAATCGTTCTCTGTAAATATTGTAAGAATTTCTGTGTGAATCGATACCAACAATATTGCAATTGTATCGAACAACGATCAATTGAGAAAGATTTTTGTGTCCTGACGAGTTCGTAAATCGACATGTATTGTTAATCTTCGAGATCCGCTTACTAATAATTCTGGTTTCCTAAACCATCTTCGATTGATTTGAAAATCGTCTGAAGAACGAATGACAGTTGCTGCATTCGGTCAATCGAATGAGATCCCTTCCGAGAGAAATTGTTGAAATATATCAATATTCAATTTGTGGAAAATGAAATGTTAATCCATCGATAACATGACTGATATCAAATATTGTGCAATTTCCAATTTCTGCGATGTCATTCTATGAAATTAAAAGCAAATGTTAAATTCGATTTGAAGAATTCATCGACAAGAAAAAGTTCGGAACAATCGAACATGTTAATATTACTCTTTTAACATTAGGAAAATGGTGCAAGAAAAAAATGACTGAGTTCGCTATACAAACTGTTTTCATACAATTAAAAAGCATTTTCTCATCAAATATTATCGAATCCATTGGTTATTGATAACGAAGAAATGTTTGAGTTGGAGCGGAATAAGGAATAGTTAGAAGCGAACTGTGCCGATCACGAATGACATACCACTTTTTACGTATGTAAAAGCCAATAGGATACGAACGAAAGAAATTGGATGGAGAAGAAAAATCAATTGTATGTCGAATATGAAGTTGAAAACGGAATTTTTACTTAGAATTTTCCAATGATATTCATTGACAAGATCCTCTCCACCTTTGATATTCAGTTCTACATATTTTATATGAGATATATTGGCGAGAAAACCTTCTGTATCATTCATTGCCGTCCAAGAATCTCAAAATTTCTTGAAGAGATATTTCATCATATCATTCAACAGTTGAATAACGCAGATTTTCTTATGAAACTGTCAATTCAAAACGTAATACAGAACCAACAATCAATCGATTTAATCGAAGCAATGCTTCAGAACGGATTCTTAGTAATCAATTATCCTTTATATCAGTACGGAACATTGAAGCTGAACAGAATTCATGTAATTCGGTTGATTTTGTCAAAGCCAAGTCCAATGAATGAATTGTTGAAGTGAAAAATACGATAAAATCAGTTCGATTGCCCAGGTGTAAAAAGATCACCGGATAAGCGTAAGAAAATAGCTCGATCGGCTGGAATTATTCGACATACAAGATCGAAACGGTATTTTTGAATCGACAGAAAATTCAGTCGATGAAAAGAATATTGACCAATGATTTCATCACACCAGAGATAGTCGAAATATGATGAAGAATTTCAAATGGAATAATCGAGTCAAAAAGAATTAAGGATTAAGCATTTCGAGTACGACAGATATAGAAGGAGAAAAACAAATGTTATTTATGCATAAAGTTGCATTCAATTTTCTATTTACCGACACTTTTTAAAAACAAATATTAACAAAAAGAAGAAAAAAATTACGCTACTCATCAAAAGACCATGTTTTTCGATATCGCAGCTGGAAATACACCTTTGATCATGTTTGTTTCTGTTTTACATCGACGTGCACTAAGGATGAGTTCTATGTATGGTTCAGATTTTATCGATATTTTTGCGCTTTGGGCCCATATCTCGGTTTGCATTTGTCAATTTTAGCTTGTTTGGGTGATCCGTAACAACACACCGACTGCGTTTTATTTGAATATGAGTCTTTTTCAATGGAATATAGATATACAGTTTCGGCTTCATTGAAACAAGCCCAACAATCATCCATAACGTAAAATGGATATTGATCTTCATATTTGCCATTCTCATACCGTGAGAAGAATTCGATCATAGTTGACTTTCCCGCTCTCTCAGGTCCACAGTAAAATAGTTTTTGTTCTTGTTGTAATTCATAAGTGCCTTTTCTGCAAAATGCACATTGAAAATCGATTGGAATCGATTGTAAATCATCATACAACTCCATCTTTTCATCTTCATCAATATTAATCAACACTTCCATTGGATGTCGCTTGAAAAATAATGGAAATACACATTTATCCAAAATTGTATATGTATGATATCGAAACTGTGAGTTAAATATATCTCGGCGAGTGAAGATCACTGAGATGAGAGAGAAAACGCTTTCGATCGTTCGAAAATCATTCAAATCATATTCATCTCTCGACAGAGATAAAATAAATTGAGCAGCGAGAGTTCGTGCTTCACCCACATTCTTCACTGGACGATAAACAAGTCGTCGGTTTCGATCTGTATTCTTCGTTGGATTCAACGAACGGAGATTTCGTTCATCGAGAAGAGGCGAAGGAAATAAATCGACACAAAGATAATCGAATAATTGAAGAACATCGAAAATGTTTTCATCTATAGTCAATTCAGTGAAAAGAACATGAGGTTGTTGAGTGTTGATGGAATGGAAAAGAGGAATAAACCAAGGAAAACGAATGGGATGATGTAGAACATATTCATGTCGATCATTTTGAAGTAATGGAAAGTTGGTTTTGTTTTCAACGAATTTGTTTAATAAAGGAAGACGAATGAGTTGTTGTTGTGTCAATTGAATGAGTTCATTCGAAGGATGAAAACGAAATTTGTGCAGAATTTCTTTCTTTGTTTCCAACATTGTTGAAATACGTGGACGAATAACTTATTACATCGATATGAAGGGAAGAAACATGTGTTTTTTTTTCTGTTCTTTTTTTATGTGCTGCGGAAGATGAATCATCATGAAAAAATTTGTTGGTTTTTTCCGCGACGTTACATCTTTTTATAATCAGAAATATTACATATGTATCACAAATATATCTCTCGCTGAACACGTGAAGAATCGGTTTCATCTAAGAGTATACGACACCTCCAATTTCTTTTTCAAAAGTGTGTACAAATGAAAATCTGACTCTCGTTTTAAACTATGGAATTTCAACAGCAAAATGAATGACTGTGTTATCTCTTTCAGTTCTGTTCATATTTCGGTTAAAATAATCAGAAAAAACATGAAGTTAAGTTGTGTGAATTATGTCATGTTGATGATAAAATTGAATGAAAGAAATGAATTACATTTGCAAAACAAATTCTGATTGTACGTCAATGTGAAAAATACTACTGTCGACATCTTCTGGGGTTTTTCCTTGGTATGGTGGGATTTCTAGTACGATTTGAATCATCCTACAATCAAATATCTTTTTTTGACAAGTGGGACAAAAATGAGTTCCTATGTCCCATTGCGTACCCAATAGAATACATTAAATGGGAAAGAAAATCCGAACCATTACTATTAACTGATTCAATAATTTCTATTCCGATGTGGGAAATATGTTTCTTGTGAATGGGACATTCATTCCAGCATCGATACCTATAAAAATAGGGAAACCTTGGCAGAGTTTGTATTCATCAATATGCATTACTCTCTCTATCTTGTTTTCATTGCTCTTATTGGTTCACTCTATGCTCAGAATGCTGAACAGAACCAGTTGACTGGAGATGAATCAAGTGGTCTAGCGCGTTTACCATCGATTCTTAGCCGTCGTGCTCGTGGTGCTTCTTGTCCTCATGGAATGTGTTTATCAAAATGGGGTTACTGCGGTACTACAGATGCGTATTGTGGTAGAGAATGTCAAGGCGGTCCATGCAGAGGCGGTTCAGAACATCATGGTGGCTATAGTGGTGGACGAAGTGGAGATGCAACATATTTTCACCGTAAATATTTTTCATCCGAATAGATAGAAAAAGAAATCGTACGAATTATGTTTTGTTAAACAGCCGGTCTTGGTGCTTGTGGTGGATATAATCATGGCAATGAATTTGTTGTTGCTATGGCTGCTCCTGATTTTGATCCACACACTCCGAATGGTAATCCAAATAACAATAGACTTTGTGGTCGACATATTTCAGTGAATGGACCTCGAGGCTCAGTGACTGTTCGAGTTGTTGATCGTTGTCCGGCATGCAGACCTGTAAGTGAAACTAAGTGCTATAGGAATTGAATGTGATCTATTTTCTGTTTTAGGGTGATTTGGATTTGAGTCCAGCTGCTTTTGATCGAATCGCCGATCGAAATCAAGGACGAGTTCGTATCAACTGGAGATTCGCTTAAATATTTTGATAATTTGATACCTTTTTTTACTAAATAAATAATTGAATAACAAAAAAAAGAAAAGGTTAGATAGCGTCGTTGATATTGTATCGCGGTGGGGATCGAACCCACGCATCCCTAAAGATAAGAGTTTTAAAGGCTATCGACTTAACCACTTGTCTACACGAAGGAATCAACATACAAAGCTAACCGTACGAGCAGAATCAATCCTATCCTTACATCCGGACGTGGTTAAGATTACTAATATTATCTCATTCGTCATTCAGCGGATAGAAATGGTATTCAAGGAGAAATGATAATGACGCATGTTCTAAAATCGTAATAAGAGAAAGAAAAAAAAGAAGACACGTGATTCGTTGTATTAATATATTTTATTTGTGTCAGCAACCATGTTCTGGGAAGTGCAACCACTACTGTTCGGTCGGAAAACTAACGACAAACTCTATAATATGGACGATGTCTCAGCACAGAATGGAAAAAGATCTTGTAAACAATCGAATAGTACGCGTACGGGAGAAAAGGACAGAAAGACATACCAGTCGACAACAAGAGCATTCCGTTTAACTTCTTATGCTTTTTGTTCATACTATCTGTGATGTACTTTGATATGATGTTTTTTTTGCGTTCTCCTCTGTATGCCAGAGTATATAAACGCGTATCTTGTATCAGAACGATGCAATTTATGAGGAAGGAACAAGTATAAGCGTATTTTCATCAGCGCATACATCTCTCCCGTAAAAAATCGTCACACTGTGAGGATCAAATCGTTGATGCCTGCCGATTTGTCTCTCTTTTTATTACAATATCGAATCTCAACTAGCAGATATTTGTTTTCCGTCTGAAGCCTCCTGTCCGAGTACACTTAATAACCATTTGTAGAAAGTTGGCTTCATTTGATATATAAAATATTGTTATATTTTTTAAATCTTTACGACTATTTAATTTAATAAAACGTTGAAGTGAAGAATGAATTTTTGTTTGAAAATTCATCATTGTAAAAATTCGCCAATGATTTTTTTTCACTGGTAAGCGCCTCTAGGAATAATTGGATAAATTCATTGAATTTATTTTTTTGTGACGTTATAGTCTCACTTTGTAATACCCATTCTCAAAAACTTATATATTAGTGCATTGGGGGATGCATCGTCACATTGATTTCGAGGATTTTCCCTGCTGCAAAAGCATAATTGGTGAAGATGCTATCAAGAAAACGAGATTGGAACACATCAATTCCATGTTCCCCTGAAACAGTGTCAATTGAAAGAGGAACAGCAAGCTCAACAAAAATACAACGATCCACTTGGAGTTCAGCATGAAGCGTATCAGTTCGAAAAAGATGAAGAGTCTCAAGACAGTTTTGTTATTGATGATGGTGCCCTGCCACCGGATAAACCATGTTCTATAACAATTTCATACGTCACTGAACTGGAACTCGTTAAAAATAGAACTAAAATTCGCTTTGTTGTTCCAACAACTCTTTGCATCACGTTACAATACAAACAAAGGAGGTATCAGTTCGTTAGCAGGTACTACAACGAATATGTTCAATCAGCTCCACATACAATTGGACTTCATTGTCTTGTGGAAAACATTGAGATACTATCACTCATATTGAATTTGAAGAAAACTGACCAAATACAGTCCTTGCGATTGATTCAGATGCCATAATGGCATAGACAGGGATTGTATTAATTCGTCAGGCCATGTTCTTGTTTCTCAATAGTCTCTCGAGCAATTGTTATTATTTCAATATTGTTTGACTCAGGAGCGTATATAAAAATTTGTTCACTGATATGACAGCCGTTTATAATGAAAACAATTGGGAACAAGCAGAGAGACTAATTCATAATATGAAGGCTAATGTGACTGGTAGTGAACTGGTGAGATTGTTGAAATACACACAGCTAGGTTTTGAATGAAAAGAGCTGTTTTGTTTCGTTTCGTTGCCTCCTTTACAATGGCTTGATGAACATCCACCAAGTAAAGGTCGTATGCAACAAATTTTTTTCTCGCTGATGGCGAAATATCGAATGTTAAGCAAGTGCCTGATTTATGTTGTTGAGCGCTGAAGTCAATTCGAATATTTTCGTTTGGTTTGGATCATTCACCAAGCCGTGCTCTCGCCAAAGACTTTGCTAATACAATTGATGGATGTGATGTTTGCATCCCGCCTAATACAAAAGTTGCCATAGATATTTTGGAACACTTACGAAAGGCTCTTGGACCTTGCTTTACAGTTATTCCCAATGGAATGAGTGGTCAGTTGGCACCCAAAGCACTGATTTCTGAATTGGAACATTTAAAATTATCTTCATCTGTCGAAAAAGATTCTACAGAAGAAATAATAAAGAAAAACATTGTCGACATTTCACTTAAGCACAGCATTCTCAGTCTATAGACGGATTCTATTGGTGTAGAAAAACGTGTTAATGAAAATAATGCTGACATGATCTTGTGTGAAGTATGCCCATTCAAATATCAGCTGACAAATCAATATTATTGAAAATATTTAGACAAACATATGGAGAAAGTACGTCACAATCAGCATTTGAAGTTGCAATGGAATGCATAACTAAACGCGGCGGAGCATGACTATTATTACGCTGATGAATATTATACTAAGGAAAAAGATCTTCTTCATCAAGTTTATGTACATAGGTATGCCGTTGAACAACGTTATCATATTACCGGAAAACGTCAACAGGAAGGAATCATCCCCATAAAGGTATAATGTAGTTCGAAATATATTTCTCACGATGCGAGATTGCTATTATAACGCCCAAATACTTTATCGAAGTTCAACGCCGCTACGAACATGAGAAACAATCTTTAAAAAAGTCGGAAGATGAAGATATCGTTTATCAAATCGTCAGTCAACAGAAATATGATACCCTTTTTCAGGCAAATGCGAAGGGAACTCGTCAGCTGATTGGCAAGTTATTGTCAAACTCCCAACCGATAAAAGAGTCTGAAAAGCACATGCACGTCTTCTTCACATGTTGGAAAGTAACCAGAATAAACTTGATACTTTACTTAAAAGGATTCGAGAACAAATATGAAAGTTTGTACCACTGATTTCCATAATAAACATGAAAGTGTTTGTCGAAAATAAACGACCATTTTCAGAAAAAAAAACAATGAACAACATATGCGAAGATTGAGTGTGATCATACGAAAGACGTTTTGAATATTAAGCTTGCCTTTACATCGACGGACAAAAGAAGATTTCTACATCTGGTAAAATTAAACTACAGAAAAAGTTTTATCGGAATTTTTGAGCTTTTCGGCCATATTTTGGTTTGGATTGAATAACTGCAGATTGTTTAGGTAGTCTACAAAAAGATCTTGTTTGTGTTTTATTGGAGTATAATTCTTTCAGTACAGGTTCTGTTGTTGATAACTCTCGTACATTTGGTATCGTAAAATCAGAATAATAATTATGGAGGAGCTCTTCTAAAAGCCTACACTGATCTTCGATGCGGTCTAATAATCTTGAAAGAATTAACTCTGTGCGTCCCTGGTATTTCCGATTTGTCGATTTTGCTTCTATCAATTCATAAGTGCCTTTTCTGCAAAATGCACATTGAAAATCGATTGGAATCGATTGTAAATCATCATACAACTCCATCTGTTCATCTTCATCAATATTAATCAACACTTCCATTGGATGTCGCTTGAAAAATAATGGAAATACACATTTATCCAAAATTGTATATGTATGATATCGAAACTGTGAGTTAAATATATCTCGGCGAGTGAAGATCACTGAGATGAGAGAGAAAACGCTTTCGATCGTTCGAAAATCATTCAAATCATATTCATCTCTCGACAGAGATAAAATAAATTGAGCAGCGAGAGTTCGTGCTTCACCCACATTCTTCACTGGACGATAAACAAGTCGTCGGTTTCGATCTGTATTCTTCGTTGGATTCAACGAACGGAGATTTCGTTCATCGAGAAGAGGCGAAGGAAATAAATCGACACAAAGATAATCGAATAATTGAAGAACATCGAAAATGTTTTCATCTATAGTCAATTCAGTGAAAAGAACATGAGGTTGTTGAGTGTTGATGGAATGGAAAAGAGGAATAAACCAAGGAAAACGAATGGGATGATGTAGAACATATTCATGTCGATCATTTTGAAGTAATGGAAAGTTGGTTTTGTTTTCAACGAATTTGTTTAATAAAGGAAGACGAATGAGTTGTTGTTGTGTCAATTGAATGAGTTCATTCGAAGGATGAAAACGAAATTTGTGCAGAATTTCTTTCTTTGTTTCCAACATTGTTGAAATATATAGACGAGTGACTTTTCTAACTGATAAATTTTCTGTTTTATATATCCAGTGTGTTTATCAGAGCAATGTAAAGGAAAAAACCGTGTGCTTTTTTCGTGTTTCTTTCCGTTGTCCTTTGAAACGTGAATCATCGTGAATCGATTCGTTGGATTTTTTCTTGACGCTATAGAGTGTGATGTGTGGTCATAGTGTCTACAGACTTTCTATCATTGAAAAGTGGTGGAAGAAATGAATTTCCAAAAACAGTTTTACGAGAGTCAAATCTCTTTGTATTATTTATTTTCAAGTTGCGACTGATACTTTTGATTCACTTTGATCTTTCCTGCCATTTGCCGACGCAATAAACAACACGTAGATATTTCACTAAAAAGAATCAGTGTGAATAGATGTCGATATGAAATATAAGTAAGTTGATACCCACGTATAATTTCATATCATATGAAATAAGTCAATGGAGAAAGGAAGAGAGGAGAGTTA